CTTGGATCTATCTGTTCAACTCTACCTTACTGATGTAGAAGTCCGATGAAATGCGACATGACCATTCAGCCTGAGGTCAATAATCCAGATATACAATCCAACATTTTTCAGTTAGGTCATCTGGACAGTTTCTTTATTTTTTTTTGTGCTGAAACGTTTTGTCTTCGATCCGGAAGGCTTCAACAGTCAAGGAAACACACAACAAAACTGATTCTACCCCCAACAGCTTACTCCAAAGTGGAACAAACCAGTTTTGTTTGTGATAAGATTGTCTCTTTGGTACGCCCCCTCCTCCATTGCTGGCACTCTTCCTTGTTGACAGTTGTGTCAAACTGGTTGAAAACAACAAAGTCCATGCTCAATAATCCAGGTATACAATCCAACATTTTTCAGTCAGGTCATCTGGACAGGATTATTGAGCATGGACTTTGTTGTTTTCAACCAGGTTGACAAGACTGTCAACAAGGAAGAGGGCCAGCAGTGGAGAAGATGGTGTACCAAAGAGACCATCTTATCACAAACAAAACTGGTTTGTTCCATTTTGGAGTAAGCTGTTGAGGGAAGAATCAGTTTTGTTGTGTGTTTCCTTGACTGATGAAGCCTTCCGGATCGAAGGCGAAACGTTTCAGCACAAAAAAAGAAACTGTCCAGATGACCTGACTGAAAAATGTTGGGTTACCATGAAATAGTTCACCCAGCGACATTTCTATTTCTTTGTGAACAAATCCATTCCACTTGATTAATAGGATAATATGCAAACCACTAAATGTCCACTCTGGGATTTCCTGGTTACTTCCAAACAACTCAATACCGCATGCAATGTTTCTCCGAGGTTATCTGCCTTGGCAGGGCACTCACGGGGGAAGGAGTGGGAGACACCTCTGTTTTGCATGTTAGATTAGCACCACGTTAGTGCTGGCAGTTGTTGACAGGGGTGGGGGTTAGGATGTGTCTAAGCACCACTTTATTGCCAGCAGTTTTCGACACAGGGTGGGGCATGGGGGATTAGGAAGTTTGACAGAAGAGGTGTGTGCTCTATTCACACAAGAGAGCTGTTGGTCAGACTCCTTCTTTGCTCTGGTCTCTAAAATAGTTATTAAATCAAGTGTTTACCGTATTTTCCGCCATACACGTCGCACTGCCGTATGAGTTGCATCAGTCCAAATATGTGAAATGAGACATGACCTGACATGACATGACATGACAAACATATATATATATATATATATATATATATATATATATATATATATATATAGTTATAAAGTGGAAAAATCCACAAATACGTCGCTTTGCCATATAGGTTGCATCTATTATGCATGACCGCTGACGCGTCACGTTTGTAACATGTCACCGCGCTGACAACCCAGAAATGTGGGCTGGTGTTGTGCCAAAAATCGATTGACTGCCAAATGGCTGCCGCAGCAGCGTGCAAACGAGGACTTTAACAATAATTTAAGTAGATGAACACTTAAACATTTATTTGTTTGCTATAAATTATAGTAAAGTTGTGTCTCAGTCTAACTTTTGCTTAATAAATGCACTTTGAAGGTCAAATCAGCTGTATTTAAAAGCCGATACGTGGAAGTAGGAACGTGCAGAGGGACATGTCACAGTGCATTCCATCGAAATTAACAAGATAACCACCTAAAAACAATTATTTGTTTGCTTGAAATTATAGTAAAGGTGTCTCAGTTGAACTTTTACTTAATAAATGCACTTCGACGGTCAAATCAGCTGTATTTCAAAAGCCGATTCACGGCTGTGGGGGCGTGCAGAGGCACGCCTCGCTGCATTTTTTCAAAATTTAACAAGATAACCACCTAAAAGCAATTATGTGTTTGCTCGAAATTACAGCAAAGGTGCATCTCAGTTTAACGTTTCCTTAATAAATACACTTTGAGGGACAAAACATGGCAAAATGAAGCAGGCAAAATGAAACCGGCAAAATGAAGCTGGTGAAATGAAGCTAGTGAAATGAAGTGACTTTAACATTACTTCAAGCCCACCTGCCCATATTGATAATAAATACCTTTTTTTTTTTTTTTTTTATTAAAATCCATTGAATTCTTCATCCTTGGTGCTGCTGGCGAAGAGTTCTGCTAATTCCTGAGGTAGATGATGCAGCGCTACTTCCTCCTCCTTCTCCTCTACCTCCCCGGGCCTGTCAGAGTCCTCCTCTGCGTCAGCTGCAGCTCCAGCTCCAGCTAACATCCCAGCCTTCCTGATCCCCGACTGGATCATTTCTTTGGTGACTGAGGTCCACGCTTTATCGATCCAGCCAAGGACCTGCTGGAATGTCACGTGGCGCATCCGTCCCGTAGCCGTGAAGCTGTGCTCTCCATCCACCATCCACTGTTCCCAAAGGTAACACTTTGAAGCTCCAGTTGACAGAGATATCCAGAGGCTACAGCCCTTTTGTCAAACGTCGTGGGACAATGGCAGGTATGGAGTTGCACGCTTTGATTTCATCTTTAAATTGCAGCATGATGTGCGTGTGCATGCTGTCCATCACCAGCAGGGCTTTGTTTGCTCTAAAAAAATTCCATCTGGCCGCTTCATGTAGCACTTTGTGAGCCACACGCTCATCATCTCCATGTCCATCCACCCCTTCTCATTAACCATCACAACTATGTATGGGGGGAACTCCACCTTCAGCATGGTTTTGCACTTAAAAATTACCATAATTTGCAGCTTTGCAGATGATACTGCGGTTGTGGGATGCATCACAAACAATGATGAGTCCAGCTACAGGCAAGAGGTGGAACACCTGGAAAGCTGGTGCAAAGAGAATAACCTTCACATCAATGTGAAGAAGACAAAGAAGATGATTGTGGACTTCAGAAGGAACAAAAACACCTACACCCCCTGAACATAAAAGGATCTGTGGTGGAAGTGGTCTCCATCTACAAGTACTTGGGTGTACACATGAATGACAACCTCAGCTGGGGCAACAACACTACCAGCCTGATCAAGAAAGCTCATCAGCGACTCTACTTCCTCAAGCGGCTGAGACGAGCTGGTCTGGGAAGCTCAGACCTCACCTCCTTCTACAGATGTGCAGTGGAGAGCATCCTGTGCTCCAGCATCTACGTGTGGCATGGAGACGGCACAGCTGCAGAAAGAAAAGCTTTGCAGAGAGTGGTGAAGGCTGCACAGAGTCTGTCGGAGTCAGTCTCCCCACCATCACAGACATCTACCCCTCTAGATGCAGGAAGAGGGCCACCTGCATCATGAAGGACCTCACTCACCCAGCACACACACTTTTTGCCCCACTCCCCTCAGGAATGAGGTTGAGGAGCATTAAGAGTAGAACCACTAGACTGAGGAACAGCTTCTACTCTGAGGCTGTTAGACTCATGAATCTCTAACCAGAATAATCATGGTGAAAAAAAATCACATCATGTTGCTGCCGATTTGTTTCATGTTGCTGCTGATCTGTTTCAAGTTGCTGCTGATCTGTTTCATGTTGCTGCTGATCTGTTTCAATGTTGATGTGTTCATGCGTGCTCATCTGCTCACACAGACTCATGTTCATGTTTGTGCTGATGTTCGACGTAATGTTTTTATGTTATGAGTGCTTAGTGTATATTTACTTGATGTTTTTCTTAGTTCATATCTTAGATGTTATTACTGTTTTTCTTTTACATTTTATTATTGGATGTAACTGGGACCCTGTGTACATAATTTCGCTCCACCACTTGTACCACATGAGATGCGAATGACAATAAAGAAACTCTGACTCTGAGCTTTGAGCCATCTACGCAGCACGCCAGCACCACAGTGAAGTGGGACCTCTCGTGACCCGTGGTGAGGATAGTCATGTTTTTCTCCCCTTTCTGTGTCACACTCCGTCCCATGTGAATGTCAAATGTTAATGAAACTTCATCCATATTAATAATGTGGTCAGGTGAGATGCTGTGCTCCTGCATCTGCCTGTCCATAAAGGCGCAGAAACTCTCCGCCTTTTCTGTAAAATCAGCGGGCAGATTCTGGCATGTGGATGTCCATGCTCTGATGGAGAGATGGTTCTGGCGCATGAACCTGAAACACCATGACGGTCCACCAGAGAAGTCGGTGATGTCCATCTCCTTGTCAACCGCCATGGCATGGACACGAAGCTGCACTGTCGACAGCCCTCTGCCAGAAGTGCGTTCCTCCAGCACCCACATCTTCACCTTTTCCTCCAGAGCTGGCCACCTCACCTTACTCCCGCGGTTCACCCTCTTTGACCGCTTCATGGATGTTGGTGTGACCTCCGCCTTCCTCCAGTCCCTAATAAGCTTCTCACTCACCCTGAACCTGCAATCAGCTGCACGGTTCCCATGTTTGGCTGCAAACTTTATCACCTGCAGCTTGAACTCAGCACAATATGAATTTCTCTTTGGCGGCATTTTCTCGATCGTTGTTGTGTTGTCGTCTCTTACCTCCCCTACTCAATGAGAGATGTTTTTGGTGTGAGCCAGTGGGGGTTTTGCGTGTCTGGAATCAACAAATAACGGGGTATGCCTACAGGTATACCAGCAGTTGTCAAAAGCTTAGAGGGCCCTCTTGCACCCCTAGAGGCTGAAAGTGGTACTGATCAATATTTTCAGTCAGAATGAATGAAAATGGTCATATCTCAGCCAAAAAATGGTTTATAAATATGAGAACAAAATCCATAAATACATTGCTATGGAGTATAAGTTGCAGAGTATGCAAATTATGCAAAAAAAAACACGACTTATACAGCGAAAAATACGGTACTTATGTAGGTACACATAGATGTTTTCCAACCAGTTAAAATACACCAGAATGCAAAAAATGGCATCTACTTTATGCAAAATTTTCTCAGGGAGTACCACCAGATGTCCCCACCAGTGCCCCCCACCCCTCCATTACAAATACTTCTGACACTAGTCAGCATGTTGGACAGTGGACATGGTCATAGCAAAATTCTGATATAAACAATTTAAAGGTTTTACTTTTATAGACACTCTTGTTTGTCTGCTACATATTACCTTTTTTTAGCTTGATGTTGAAGCTGTGGCCTTTTTTCTTCAGGTAGGTGCTGCTGGATGGGGTTGTGCTTACCCTACGCTGCAGGGAGGGTGAGAGGGCTGAGGAAGTTGTGAAAAGTGAGTTGTAGGGCAAAGTAGAATATCGTCGACTTTGATCTGGGGTGCTCCCAGCCAGGGGGTTCTGGTGACTACAGAAAAAAAACACAGAGTTTAAGAGTTTACAACAGGGATAGCTTGTTAAATAGGAGGTAAAAGAAAAGAATACCAAAGAAACCAGGTTGATTGGCTGAGAAAATGAATGTTACCAGGCAAAAGTTTCTTGGATGTCAAATTGTTGAAACACTGTTTGCAGTAGAAATTAGGGGTTTAATGTTAATTAAATAAAAAAATGTAAGCGTTCTAGCGTTTTCTCCTACAGCGTCTCTACACCAGATATCGCCATCAGATACATATGTGCAGATCATTACCCTGATGAGCTGCAGGGGTATAAATGACAGTTGATGACTTCACTCTGACACAGGTGCATTGTCTGCCTTATGGTAGTCATGCTCCTGGCCCCTATTGTATTCTTAGCATTACCGTAAAGACTAACTCCTTACTCCTGCATTTTTTAGCATCTCCATGTGCTCTTTTGATGCGCTCCTTCAGCTGATTGATGGATGAACCGCACGATCGGCATGGAAATTTTATTTAAGATAAATTAATTTAAATTGTTTAGCACCTGCTGCAGAAAAAGCTTCCTCCTGCACCTTTGTACAACCCACACTGCAGGATAAGTTTCCTGCTGCAGAGCAGAGAAGTGGGCATGGCCAAGAGTGTAGGTGGAAAAAGCAGAGGAGGCAGGGAGCTGAAATCATGACATTCTGTGCTCTCTTAGAGCGTTTAAAGTTTAGAAACATTGCTTAGAATATTGCAAGAGTGTGGGAAGGGTTTAAAAAGCCTTAAAAAAATAAAATAAAAAATTATATATACATATATATATATATATATATATATATATATATATATATATATACAAACCGGATTCCAAAAAAGTTGGGACACTAAACAAATTGTGAATAAAAACTGAATGCAATGATGTGGAGGTGCCAACATCTAATATTTTATTCAGAAAAGAACACAAATCACAGATCAAAAGTTTAAACTGAGAGAATGTATCATTTTAAGGGAAAAATCTGTTGTTTCCAAATTTCATGGCATCAACAAATCCCAAAAAAGTTGGGACAAGTCCATTTTTACCACTGTGTGGCATCCCCCCATCTTCTTACAACACTCAACAGATGTCTGGGGACAGAGGAGACCAGTTTCTCAAGTTTAGAAATAGAAATGCTCTCCCATTCATGTCTGATACAGGCCTCTAACTGTTCAATTGTCTTGGGCCTTCTTTGTCGCACCTTCCTCTTTATGATGCGCCAAATGTTCTCTATAGGTGAAAGATCTGGACTGCAGACTGGCCATTTCAGTACACAGATCCTTCTCCTACGTAGCCATGATGTTGTGATTGCTGCAGAATGTGGTCTGGCATTATCGTGTTGAAAAATGCAGGGTCTTCTCTGAAAGAGATGACGTCTAGATGGGAGCATATGTTGTTCTAGAACCTGAACATAGTTCTCTGCATTAATGGTGCCTTTCCAGACATGCAAGCTGCCTATGCCACAAGCGCTCATGCAACCCCATACCATCAGTGATGCAGGCTTCTGAACGGAGCGTTGATAGCAACTTGGGCTATCCTTGTCCTCTCTGGTCCGGATGACATGGCGTCCCAGTGTTCCATAAAGAACTTCAAATCATGACTCATCTGACCACAGAACAGTCTTCCATTTTGCCACACTCCATTTTAAACGACCCCTGGCCCAGTGCAAACGTCTGAGCTTGTGTAGCTTGCTTAGAAATGGCTTCCTCTTTGCACTGTAGAGTTTCAGCTGGCAACGGCAGATGGCACGGTGGATTGTGTTCACTAACAATGCTTTCTGGAAGTATTCCTGAGCCCATTCTGTTATTTCCTTGACAGTGGCATTCCTGTTTGAGGTGCAGTGATGTTTAAGGGCCCGGAGATCACGAGCATCCAGTAGAGTTTTACAGCCTTGACCCTTACACACAGCGATTGCTCCAGATTCTCTGAATCTTTTGATGATGTTATGCACGGTTGATGATGATAACTTAAAAGTATTTGCTATTTTATGCTGGGTAACACCATTCTGGTATTGTTGCACTATCTTTCTGCGCAACAATGGTGGAATTGGTGATCCTCTTACCATCTTGGCTTCTGAGAGACACTGACACTCTGAGAAGCTCTTTTTATACCCAATCATGTTGTCAATTGACCTAATTAGTTTTAATTGGTTTTCCAGCTGTTCGTTATATACTCAATTTCCTTTTGCCAGCCACTTATTGCTACTTGTCCCAACTTTTTTGGGATTTGTTGACACTGTGAAATTTTGAATCAACATATTTTTCCTTTAAAATGTTACATTTACTCAGATTAAACTTTTGATCTGTCATCTATGTTATATTACGAATAAAATATTGACATTTGCCATCTCCACATCATTGCATTCAGTTTTTATTCACAATTTGTTTAGTGTCCCAACTTTTTTGGAATCTGGTTTGTATATATATATATATATATATATATATATATATATATATATAACTACAACTTACAACTTTTAGTACTATTCTTACTTTACGTTTTTTCACTTATCGCGGGTCTTCAGGGTATAGATCCCCCACGATAAACGAGCAACTACTGTATTCACATTTGTCACTAAACATTGTAAATTTACTACATGTTTTGGAGTTGCTCTTTCGGTCACAACTTTTCTGGGTATTAATAAAATTCTCACAAAAAATCTAAATGATGCTCAGTCATACCTCACAGTAGAAATATCATTCAACATGTCAAATAAATTTCACTTTATCTAAGTGAATTTGAATTTTACTCTATGCAACAGTTTTTTTTACACAATATTAGTACATTAGTATTACACAAAATTACTGTGATGATTTAATATTAACATAATAATTCATCTTTTTTTATTACACCTATTGTTCTTCATGCGTAAAAAACTAATTGGGGAAAAAATACAACAAAATTTTCCATTTGTTTTATTTCTCTAGACAAGCACCATTTATTATTTAACACTGTCCTGTAGATGTAATTTTGTTAAAAAAACAACAATGTTGAAAAAATAATAAATAAATGCAGAGAAACTCACTTGTAGATTAGACCTGGCAGTTGTCCAGATTTGGATGGTAATCCCAAAACCAGACTCAACCTGTCTGTTGGAGGGTGAGAATCTTGGCTAAAGTGGACTCGATTTGATTGTGGCGTATTGGGCTCACTCTGTGCCGACATGACCTCGTACTGCCTCTTCATGGATGAGGGTACGACATGGAAAAGGATGACCCGGGAACGCATGGCCTGCCTGAAAATGTTCTGTGCTCTGAAAGAAAGAACAAAAAAAAAAAAAAAATGAAAGAATTAATGAAAGAAAGAATGAAAAAAAAAAAAAAAGAAAGGGGAGGAAGGTCATACATACATAAATGCATTAGCTTTAACGTGATAAGAGATACATGTACAATGGTGTGCTGTCATGACATTAAAGATATTACGATATGAGGATAGAGTGCTGTTTGTTGTAAGATGATAGGGAGAGTCATGGTCAGTATGCCTAATTACAGAGTAGAGGACACATGTATTATTTACTAAAGCATGCAAAAATACAAATAGGTGACAAAGCCTGTGAGCACTATGAAATATTACACATAATTTTGTTTGCTTACAGTTCATGCAAGTGAAACCCTGTTTTGTAGAGCCTGTCCAAATTCTAATCTGTGTATTTGAGTGTGTGGCTTGAGGTGAAGGGACACAAGTTGACTCAACAAGAAGAGCAGAAATGATGAATCATGCACCAGGGAGGCTTTCCAGTAAATGAAGTACCAATTAATCAAATACATACTGTCTCAAATGAGCTAAATTAGCCAAATAGCCTGAGACAGTGTTCAATATTTCCAGGCACAAGAACTGTTTAATCTGGTTTGTCAGTGGCTCTAACTGTATAGACAGGTGGCCACGGAAATAGCCAACTTTTCCATCAGGTTCCAGGGGTGGAATGTGATGTCTATGTTCAGGCCCGGTCAACAATAATCTTTTCTTGTTCAAATAGCAAAGAGGAACTTTAACAAAAACACTGGAATACATACAGTATGCTGCCTAACAGGTGATGATCAGTTTAAGATTTAAACTGAAACCATCCATCTATTTTCTGCTGCTTATTTGTGATAAAGTCACAAATTCAAAAAGTCCTTCTTCTTCTTCTTTCCACTTTTACCTCTTCAGGTAAGCAAGTCATCCTCCTCTATCTCACTCTGTCCTCTTCATCCTCTGATTTTACTCCAACTACCTCCATGTCTACTCTAACTGCATCCGTATATCTCCTCTTTGACCTTCCTCTTGTCCTTTTTCTGGCAGCTGCAATCCTATTATCCTTCTACCAATATTTCCACTGTCCCACTTCTGAACATGTCCAAACCATCTCAGTCTGGCTTCTCTAACTTTATCTCCCAGGTGTTCAACCTGTGCTGTACCTCTGATGATCTCATTCCTAATCTTATCCATCCTTGTCACTCTTAAGGAGAACTCCAACATCTTCATTTCTACTACTTCCAGTTCTTTCTTCTGTCTTTTTGACCATGTGTCTGTCTCCAGAACATACAACATAGCTGGCCTCACAATTGCCTTATAAATTTTTCCTTTGACCTTTGCTGACACCCTTTTGTCGCAAATCACTCCTGAAACCTTTTTCCATCTACTCCATCCTGCCTGGACTCTTTTTCACCTCTTTACCACACTCCCCATGTTCCTGGACAGTGGACCCCGAATGCTTGAAGTCAAAATCAAAAAGTCCAAAGGTCAGAGATTCCTCGTCTGAGCGACACCACTCTCTACAGGGGACATTGCAAGGTACTCCCAGATCAGAAATAATGCATAACCCCTCCAGCGTGCACTCGGTCTTCCTCAGAGTCTCTTCCCAGTGAGGCATGCACAGAAAACTTGCACAGGAAGGCATGCAATGCCTGAATCATCTCAGCTGACTCCTTTTAATGCAAATGAGTCTACTCTGAGCATTCCCTTATATGAAAGACCAGTTCACCTGGTTTTAAGGCTAAGCCCAGCCACTCTACAGAGCAAGGGTGCAAAGACAGACAGACCAGTAAACTGAGAGCTGTTGGTTCAACTCCCTATTCTCAACAATAAGTCAAAGTAACATGACTGCTGATGAGGCCCAGATATCATGATCCATCATTTGCTCTTGTCTGCCATCCATCCATCCATCCATCCATACATACATCCATACATACATCCATACATACATCCATACATACAGGTCCTTCTCAAAAAATTAGCATATTGTGATAAAGGTCATTATTTTCCATAATGTAATGATAAAAATGAAACTTTCATATATTTCAGATTCATTGCACACCAACTGAAATATTCCAGGTCTTTAATTGTTTTAATACTGATGATTATGGCATACAGCTCATGAAAACCCAAAATGCCTGTCCCAAAAAATTAGCATATCATGAAAAGGTTTTCTAAACAAGCTATTAACCTAACCATCTGAATCAACGACGTAACTCTAAACACCTGGAAAAGATTCCTGAGGCTTTTAAAAACTCCCAGCCTCGTTCATTACTCAAAACCGCAATCATGGGTAAGACTGCCGACCTGACTGCTGTCCAGAAGGCCATCATTGACACCCTCAAGCAAGAGGGTAAGACACAGAAAGAAATTGCTGAACGAATAGGCTGTTCGCAGAGTGCTGTATCAAGGCACCTCAGTGGGAAGTCTGTGGGAAGGGAAAAGTGTGGCAGAAAACGCTGCACAAGGAGAAGAGGTGACTGGACCCTGAGGAGGATTGTGGAGAAGGGCCGATTCCAGACCTTGGGGGACCTGCGGAAGCAGTGGACTGAGTCTGGAGTAGAAACATACAGAGCCACCGTGCACAGGCGTGTGCAGGAAATGGGCTACAGGTGCCGCATTCCCCAGGTCAAGCCACTCTTCTGCGTCATAAGCATCTCGCCTGGGACTGCTGCTGAGTGGTCCACAGTTATGTTCTCTGATTACAGTAAATTTTGCATTCCCTTTGGAAATCAAGGTCCCAGAGTCTGGAGGAAGAGAGGAGACACAGAATTCACATTTCTTGAGGTCCATTGTCAAGTTTCCACAGTCACTGGGGTGTCATGTCATCTGCTGGTGTTGGTCCACTGTGTTTTATCAAGTGCAGGGTCAATGCAGCTAGCTATCAGGAGATTTTGGAGCACTTCATGCTTCCATCTGCTGAAAAGCTTTATGGAGATGAAGATTTCATTTTTCAGCACGACCTGGCACCTGCTCACAGTGCCAAAACCACTGGTAAATGGTTTACTGACCATGGTATTACTGTGCTCAATTGGCCTGCCAACTCTCCTGACCTGAACCCCATAGAGAACCTGTGGGATATTGTGAAGAGAAAGTTGAGAGACGCAAGACCCAACACTCTGAATGAGCTTAAGGCTGCTATCGAAGCATCCTGGGCCTCCATAACACCTCAGCAGTGCCACAGGCTGATTGCCTCCATGCCACGCCGCATTGAAGCAGTCATTCATGCAAAAGGATTCCCGACCAAGTATTGAGTGCATAACTGAACATGATTATTTGAAGGTTGGCGTTTTTTGTATTAAAAACACTTGTCTTTCATTGGTGGGATGAAATATGCTAATTTTTTGGGACAGGCATTTTGGGTTTTCATGAGCTGTATGCCATAATCATCATTATTAAAACAATTAAAGACCTGAAATATTTCAGTTGGTGTGCAATGAATCTGAAATATATGAAAGTTTCATTTTTATCATTACATTATGGAAAATAATGACCTTTATCACAATATGCTAATTTTTTTAGAAGGACCTGTACATACACACGTTCATACATACTTACAAATGTACATACATACATATACAAACATACATACTGGTACACATTATCCGTATGTCCGTTATCAAGGGTTGTGTCTGGGGCTACCTTATCTCAGTGATCAGTGCCGTAGTTCTGTAATCCTGAGACTGCAAGTTTGAGCCCAGGTTGCATAAGGAACGGCATCTAGCCTTAACCAATTACCAAATGTCAAGTGAAATGTGCAAGTTTGCTAGCTGTGGTAACCCTCACAAAGGCAAGCAGCCCTCAGCACTTGACAAATCAGCAATACCATCTTCATCTGAGGTTGAGTTATGCAGTTAACATGACCAAGCGGAAAGCCTATACATTTATCTCCCCAGAGAAACACTCTCTTACAGGGGAACCAAAGCCTGTTGAGGGCCTGTTGGTGAAGGCTTAATTCCTGGGGCTCAGCTGGGCCAAGCCCACAGAAGATGCAAAAAGCCACAGTTCCACAATTGGAACCACCAGCTGATGAGAGATAAGTCAAGTTTTGGTGCAGGTTGAGCCAGGTGACAGGTAAGGACATAGCCCAGGCAGATGGTTTGATTCCTAGTGTCGTGTGCTAGCTTTAAAACATAAGATAAATGCAGAAAAAAAATTATAAAACTACTTGTTTGTTGTGGGTTTTAGAGTACAGTACACAGTATCAGTAAGTCTGCACAAAATTGGATGATATACCCTTGTTTTTCAAAAGCCCCATATACTAAATCAACATGGATACAACAAAGTGGAGTTAAAAAAAAAAAATGCCACTTTCGAACGTGTTTACTTATTAATGTGTTTCTTCTTTGTTTTTCTCACCAGAAATGCAACTTGCATGTGCATGTAGATGGGACCTCAGAAAGTCCCACTTCAGTTGTTAGTCTAAAAGCAACAAATGAAGATTTTAGCCTATTTTACAATGACACTAAGTGCTTTATTGGAGTAGTGTCACAGAAGCAAAGCCATTGTTCTGCATCAAAACTCTGAAGAATTTGAATGCTTGCATCTTTGTTCCTTTTGTAATTTGGAAATAAAATACTCTCAAACTGACACTGAATGCTAATGAATGGATAAGGTGTGTGTGTGTGTGTGGGTGTCAGTATGTTTATGCCCCACATGCACATATACAGTGCTGTCACTCTAGTAATCAGCCTCCACACGAGCTTGATTGAATAATAAATTACTCCCATCAATGCATCATTACATTCATTTAGATTAAGCTACTCAAAATATTTACCCATGCAAAGCAATTCAAGAAGATTAGACTATCACTTTAAATTGCAACTCTCCATGGCACGCAATCATGAAAGAGACAGAAAGTGCAAAAGGGGAGGAAAGTTTAGCTCCATCTTCTCATTTTTATGCAGAACTGAATTGTGTGCATCTGGGTTCTGGGAGGGAGGTGGGGGAGGGATATACTCCCATGTGGATTTGGTTTGTAAACCTCTTTCACAGTAGAACAGGTTTGGAAGAAAACTGGGGTGTCTAATAATAACAATAGACTTGTTTGAAAAGAGAGAAAGAACATTAAGGCCTTGTAGACAGTGTGATGAAATGATTAGCATATGTGGAGAAATAAAAAGTGAATTTCACATATGATAGACGGTTTAATAAGACTTTTGAATAAATTTGAAGTCAATGCCGATCTTTAGAAATACATGTTGCAAAAGTATCTCCCCTTGATATTTTTTTTCTTGCTTTGCCACAAATCTAGATTTCAAATCATAAAAAAGGGGGGAACAACTGAACAGGAATGCATATGTTTGGAAATATGACATACATGCCATCCTCCCCTAGGCCTTGATGACCTAAAACATGTTTTAGAAACTTAATAATAATAATAATAATATTATTATTATTAAGAATTTACCTAGGAGAAATCTTGTGTGAAATGACCTACATAAGTCCTGATATCACCCATATTCAACACCAGTTCAAGACCTTGAAATAGTAAGAGCTACCACCAAGTGAGACAGCATGAAGACCAAGGAATTATCCAGACAGGTCAGAGGAAAAGTTGCGGAGAAGTTAAAGTTAGGGTTGAGTTTAAAAAAATGTCCCTAAGTATGAACGTCTGACAAAGCCCTATGAAATCCATTAAATGGAAAAAGGAAATATTCTACCAACACAGCAAACCAATCAAGAGAGGTCTAAAGAAGTTAAGTCTGGTCCTCTGGACGTTCAAAAAACAAAAAAATAAAACAAACAAACAAAAATTGTAGAAACGTTTTGTCTTTCATCTGGTCTACACTCATCTCCAGGCCAGCAGTCACTCGTTCAAGGATGAAGATGTTCACAGCCTTGATAGAGAGGAACAATGGTTTGAAAAAGGAGTAAAGGAGGCCATCTTTGTGAAAAGAAACCGTCCATCATTAAACAGGGGTGGAGGCCTCCGTGTTCAACTGTCCACCTCTTACAATGCTGTTATTGCTAGTATCACTCAGCACCTGTGCTTCTTGGCTTCTATTGTAGGAGCAGCCATCAGTGTGCTAATGATCCATTGTTAGGCTGATGGTCCTCCTTGATCATGTGAGCAGCTGGTTTTGGATGTAAGCAGCAAACTGGTTGATCCACTATGAGAAGGTGCGATTTATAAGATGGAGTTTAATACAGCACCTCAGACTTAATAAGTCTTTCGGATAAAAGATGAAACGTTTCTACATTTTTTTTTTTTTTTTTGAACGTCCAGATGACCTGATTTAACTTATTTAGATTTTTCCATCTGGATTATTGAGCATGCATCAGGACAATCACGAGAGGGTTGTCTACTAAAACTCACAGAGCAGAAATGGAGTGCATTAAACAGATAAACCATCAAGAAGCCAAAGAAAATTTTGGCATCATCAAACATCATACCCACAGTGAAGTATGTTGGTAAAAGTATCATGCTGTACTGAACAACTAGCGGACAATCTCTAAACACTGTATTCTTGCTAAGGTTTAAGAAAAACTGATAAATACCCAAGTCAAGAAGTATTTTGATTCAACAGCTTACCTCCCCATCAATCTGGTTTTAGGAAACAACATAGCACAATGACTGCTTCGCTGAAGGTTTTAAATGATGTTATTGAAGCACTGGATGCTAAGGATTATTGTGCTGCACTTTACTTAGACCTGTCTAAAGCTTTTGATACTGTGGACCATGACGTCTTATGCCATAAGCTCTCAGACGTTGGTTTCTCAGATCACTTGGTTGGTTTTCTAATTACCTCTCAGATCGGAGGCAATGTGTTCAACCATAACAGTACTTCCTCCAGTATCTAGCTGATAACAACGGTGTACCACAAGGTTCAGTCTTAGGACCCACACTCTTCACAATCTACATAAGTAATGTAGGTCAGATCATTCCTGATGATCCTTACATTTCTATGCTGATGACACAGTTGTTTATTGTTGAGCTAGAACAGTTGCTAAGGTTTTCCAGCTTTTACAGTCTGCATTGGACATCATCCAGTCAGATTTGTTCCATCTGAAACTGGTGCTAAATGCTGATAAAAACCAAAGGGATATTGTTTTCAAACAGGAAGTTGGTACCATCACTCCTTCCTTTTATCTAAACTATGAATGGTGTTCCTATTGAGTTTGTTGAGTCTTACAAATACTTGGGAATTTTGGTCGATGCACATCTCTCTTTAAAGCCTCCTGCTGAAAACTTGGTAAAGAAATTGAAAGTAAAACTGGGTTTCTTTTTCAGAAATAGATCCTGTCTAACTCTGAATGCTAGGAAACACTATGTAACTGCTATTTACCTTAACTTTAATGACTAGAATGACATTATTTACATGAATGCTCCTGCGAGCACCTTGTAGATGTTAGACGCTGTCTATCACAGTGCGCTAAGATTCATAACTGGATGTAACTATCGTACCCATCACTTCACTCTGTATTCATTGGTCAATTGGACATCAACTTCACGCAGACTCTCACACTGGTACATTTTCATCTTGAAATCACTCATTTATCTGCTGCCTTCATATAGCTCCTCCTATAAGTCACTTTGTCAGTGCAGCTACAGTGTGCACTCGCAATACATCATTATCTGCAGTGTTCCTTGGTGAGGAGTGCGGACCGAATTTGTCAAAAGGACGTTCTCTTCCTCCACTCCTGTAACATCTTGCAAAAATGTCTGAAGCTCTTAACTCTGACCCGTCTAAGGGATTTTAAACAACTGTTAAGTTCAATGCAAAAAAAAAAAAAACGCAGACATGTTCCTGTTTTTAGTATTTTACACCTTTTTTAAATGTAGCATGTTTTTTTAATTTTGTCTTATATCACTTCTTTTATTTATTTTTCATTTTATATGCTTTTATATGAATGTTTATTGCTGCGTGTACCTACCATACCATACCATACCACTTTATTTATAAAGCACTTAAAACAGCTACAAAGCCAACCAAAGTGCTGAATTGTACCTCATCTGTGTCTTTTGTTTAAAACGGGTCTCTTGCAAATGAGTCCTTGCGAGTCAATGAGACGAACCTGTATAAATAAAGGTTGATTGATGTGGAGATTAAAAAACTAGTCAGAGTTGAAGGACAAATTGCAGGTGCAACATATCCCAAAATCTTGAGAGGAGCTTATTGAAGTCTTCCAGAGATTGGCACAGGGGTGGTGGTTAACCTCCCAGTAGAACAATGACCCTAAACTCAATAATAAAGCAATACTCATGTAGATTAAAGAAAATCAGTCCTGAAATGATATAATTAAAGGCCAGACCTCATTCCAACTGAGAATATCTAGTTAGATTAAAATATTGTGCACAAATAGTGCTAATATATGAAAGAGAGAGAGAAAGATAGTTATTTAAAACACTAGGGATTTGTGAAATAAAACCCCTACTAATTATTTTCAAATTCCATTTCAAAAGGCAGCAAAAAAGACAAAATGTCAATGGGGCATAGGCGTTGCAACAATTATATGTGAATGGGACGTATCCCCCCATATTTCAAATATATTCATATGGACTCCTCACATTTACCCTGAAACATTAGTTCATCATCCAGCACTGTTTCCATTTATTTGTGAACAAATCCATTCCCCTTGATCAATAGGATAATACTAAAACCACTAAAAGTCCACTTCGGGTTTTCCTGGTTACCTACGACAATACAACACTGCTTGCAGAGGTTCTTCGAGGTCATCTGCCTTGGCGGAGCGATCACTGGGGGAGGAGAAGGAGACACTTCTGTTTTGTGCGCTAGCTTAGCACAACGTTAGTGCTGGCAGTTGTTGATGGGGGGTGGGGAGGCAAGGATTCTTAAGAGAAGCAGGGTGTGCTCTATTCACACAAGGAGAGCTTGTGATCAGATTAATTCTTGTTGCATTCTAAAATAGTTATTGAATCAAGTGTTTACTTATGTAGGCAAACATAGATGTTTTAAAATATACCAGAATGCAGAAAATGGTATTTATTCAAAATTTTCTGCGGGAGGATCCCCAGAACCCTCCACCAGTGTCCCCCCCCCTCCCCCCCCACACACATTACAAATGCTTTTGACACAAATGTAATGGGGAGAATACTTCACTATTCAGATAATTGTTCAAACCTTTGACAACTTTCTCTTCAGTTCAGTCTTCTTGTTCCTGTGGAGGAGTGGATGAGGAGGAGAGTCAAGGACAATGCCTCTGTCCAATATCTCCAGAAAGCAGCTCTGTATCCCTGGATATGTGTGTGTGAATGCGGGGGGGGGGACATGCATGTGTATGTGTGTATGCGTGTGTGTGTCAGCACCAGCCTGTGAGTCCACACACTCAGTCTTAGTTAGAGAGAGAAGGTGGCTTTGGGTAAATGGAAGTGGAGCAGTGCCAGACTTACATCTTCATTCCACTTTAGGAAATGAAGGGCAGCAATGAATCGATGGAAATGGATCACAAGGAAAATGTAGGCAGTTTTAGATCAGAGGCTGAAGCGGTCCAAAAGTACTGCAGGTCACTGAGAGCTATTGCAAGAGGGCCAAAAAGCCAGTATTTTTTCTGCTTTATTGTGCAGCTGGGCCTGTGTCACGCCCTCCAGCAGTTTGGTTTCAGCTTATCAAGAGCAACATTACTAACTGTTTCTTTATTTCATGTGCAGCACGTCACTCGTGGCGTTTATCACTCTCTAGATGGTGTCAGATAGAAACTATCTGGGTACATCCTTAATTTGGAGATACTGCAGGCAAAATGCCTGACAAAAAATGAATAAGAAAAGCTGCATTTAAATAGCAAGGTGCTATTTAAGAGACTGAGCTGAATACAGCACCGCAGACTGAGGAAGTCTCTTGGATGAGAGATGAAACGTTTCTACATTTTTTTGTTGTTTTGCTTTGTTTTGTTTTTTTGAATGTCCAGAGGACCAGATTTAACTTTTTTAGAAAAGCTGCATGTGTTTTAGAGCTGTAAAACTGCAAGCCAAACCCCTACCATGCATATTGTAATATTATTCTTTTTTTTTCTAGGAACACCATATTAAAGCTTACTGTTCAAAGCGCAAATTGCGAATGTCCCCTTGATTAATCTTCACTATGCAGTCATTCTCCTGGAATAGATGCTCCTGTTCAGCTTTTCCTCCAGGCTCCAAACGCTTCACCAGCAAACCCTGTGTCCTGCAAAAGAACACACAAATGATTGAAGAAGATTTAAACAACGGGTTTGACAATTATAAAACACATTTGATTATACTGCATGGAAAAAGTGTGGGTTAAATTCCAAGGCAATTTAAAGTAGCTAGCCTAGCAAAATTGTTGTGAATGAAGAATGAAAAACTTCTTTTTTAAAGAAAAGTACTGAGGATTGTCAAGGCTGTGAGGACATTTTTTTTTTTTAGGTATTCCGAAAACACACAAGTTGATTGTTTAGGTCGCAGTGAATCTTGATGTTTTAAGGAACATATTACAATGAACTGCCGAAGGTTCCTGGAGAGACTTTGACGGGGACTGCCACGTTGCGGCCATTTTAAAATTTTGATTTGACAGTACTGTGTGGGGTACTGTGGTACTTATGGGGGACACATTCCGGTTTGGGACACATTAAAGTTGATAGAAGAGCAATACCATTTTCATGTGTATAATAATAGGGGTGGCTTCCTTTCTAGGCAGTCTTCAATAAACTGCCACAAGCTAACTAAAGTTTACTTTCCAAACTCAGAAAGAAAGCAGGAATTTTTGTGTCCTAGAAAGATGCTGCATTACAAACTCAGTTTTACAATTCTGTCTGTCCTCCTGTCCTCCACTTTACTTTTCTTTCAATGTGCAGATCTGAGAGAGTGGCAGGCGGCTTGTCTGAAATAATCTAGACTACAAGCCAGCAGATCATCTTTTGGCTTCCAGGGGAACGTTACAGCCTCCTTCCCAGGAGCTTAAGGAGAGAGCTGGCTGTGCTGGAATAAATAGCAAAAGAGTTTCACTACATTGCCATCTCAGCAATCCCTTCAGAAAAGGAGACATTTACTTTCAAATACTCCCTGCCTCCATTTCCTGTGAATAAATACATCAGTGAGCTCCCCGAGGCTTTATCTAGGCCCTAAGGATAACCACATGCAAAGAGATCTGATGTAGCTTACACAGCAGTACGATCAAATGCAGCCAATATCTGAGGAGCGGGAAGGTTCAGTTAGGTGGTATTCTTTTGCACATCATCAGTGTCTTTTATGTAATTTTTTTTATTTTTAAATTAAGGGTTTCACATTTAAAATATGAAGAAGAAAATCATCCATCCATTATCTTTACCCGCTTCTTCCTTTTCGAGTCGCACGGGTCACCGATGCCCATATCCAGCAGTGTCTGTGCAAAAGGCAGGGTACCCCCTGGACAGGTCTCAAGTCCATCACAGGGACACAGAGACAAACAATCATTCAGTCTCTCACTCACACTTAGGGACAATTCAGTTTCCAATCAGCCTAACATGCATGTTTTTGGTCTGTGGAAGGAAACCAGAGTACCCCGAGAAAACCTACGCATGCACGGAGAGAAGATGCAAACTCCACCCAAGAAGGTCCTGGACCGGGATTCGATTCTGCAACCTTCTTGCTGATAGGTGGCAGCTCTACCAACTGTGCCACTAGAAGAAAATAATTTACAAACTAATCTAATATGTCATAAATTAAGTTGCAGAAACAAACGGGTGAATCTTTTTCACACACTGTGTGAAGACAATTATTTTGTAACAGTGTTTACTGTAGAAGTCAATGGTAGATATAAAACGGGGGAGTGGTGGCTCAGAGGCTAGAAAAGGCGAGCCTGTAATCGGAAGGTCGCTGGTTCTACTCCCCGTTCCGACAACATCTAAATGTGGGTAGGACAGGTGAAGCACCCACACCTGTCTCCACCCTCATTTCCCCACTCTGGGCTCTTGAGCAAGGCTCTTAACCCCCACCATCTGCTCCCCCGGGCACCCTAGATGGCAGTTCTCTGCTCCACAGGGCTGTGGTAGCTCAGTGGTCTGTGGCTGTGTCAGGAAGAGCATCTGGTGTAAAAACAACTGCCAAGCTTTTGCTTGAGTTAGTTCGCTGTGGCGACCCTTGAAGAAGGGAGCAGATGAAAAAAAAGAAGAAAAAAATAAAGATATAAAATGCTCTTTAGCACTACATCACAGCCAGACAGGACCACTCCCATGACAGTGCTGTAACTGGCTGAATAATGGGGAAATCCAGACTCGCACTGCCGACCCCTCTCAAATCATCAGTGGGTATAAAGGGTTTAGCAACAAGCTGAAATTAAAAATCACAAAAGGCTTGTGCTTTTTTTACCCCTGTGTCAGAGCCTGCACTGCCATATCATCTTAAGGTTGCTGAGCTTTGAATAATTGCTGGCACTGCTGAAGCAAACACGATTGTGCTTCATCCTTGTACTGTCAGCTCAAAAACAAAGTTGTGCCCATTGAGATAACAGTGTGGACATCCTTAAATGACTGCGGATCTGCTAGCAGACTAGATGTAGTAGATAAAGGGGGTTTAGCTGATCCCTGATCAGTATTCAAAGCTGCAACAGGAGGGCTGGGGATAAAGTAGCATCTTGTAGAGATTTGAAAATGATGGTTTTGTAAATGTGCTGTTGTGTTGACTGAAATGCAGTCAACAAAAATAAACATTAAAAATGTTTTTTTTTTCTTGTTTTTTTTTTTTTGGGGGGGGGTTGTTTTTTTTTACTGCATGTCACCAAATTAAGAACTATATACTGTATGGGTAAATGAATTTTGCAGTTAGAATATCTGAAGACCCTGCAGGAAAATACACTAACAGAAACACTTTGAGAGGTAGATAAATATGTACACATTGAAAGGTCATGTGAATGTACTGCAATGAATGCAACAATGGACTACATAGATAACTAAGTTGACATCACAGGCACACTACTGGTATCAAGTAATTAAACTGTGGCACCCTTTCGGGTCTGGATACAAGCAGTTAGTCAATCCAGTTGTTATCAGTGGTCCTCATAATCGAGCGGATCAGATCTTGCTCAAATCCAATTCCAGAGATGATTCCACACAAGTTTGACTGGAGAAAAGAACCTGACAGGCTAAAGGAACCCTCAGCATGGTGCAGGCAGTCACATGTGTTGTGTGTACTGGTGTTATCTTGTTGAAAGACCATAAAATGGTGCTGCCTCTGGTGGGATAAGACAAGCAATATAAATGGACTGTACTTATATAGTGCCTTTCTATCTAATCAAGATACTCAAAGTGCTTTACACTACAATTTGTGCCACATTTACCCATTCATACAGCACTCTACTAGATCTCTTCAAAGCTAATTGAACAAATCATTCTAAAGAGACTAATCGGAGCTTTATCACATTCATACACCGATGGGACACACATCGGAGGCGATGAGGGGTTCAGTGTCTTGCCCATGGACACTTCAGCATGTGACTGCTAGTGGATTCGAACCCCCAACTCTTGCATTGGAAGACGACTGCTCTAACCACTCAGCCACAGTGATATCCTCCAATATCAGGATATCAGTGATGTAGTGTTGTACTGACATATTCGCAACCTCAACTCATACTCTATAGCTTTTCACACCATGATGCCAGATGCCAATAATGGCAGGACTGGTCATCTCCCTTTGGTGCTGCCATATATGCATACAATGGTTGTCCATGGTTGACCAAAGTTCATTATTAAATGAATATGATACAACTCATAATCAGTCTGTGCCATCAGATTATGGGATCATTCCAAATACAGCCCTCTCTTTTCTGGTGTCAGTGACAACCGTAGGATGGTGAACCTGTAATCCAGGTGAGACATGATGGAGGATAACACTGGGTTGTAATGACCTGTGCCTAGATGGCTCACACGGAATTCTTGGGACCCCATAATGGTTTTGAAGTGCAATATGACTATCCTTTTTTAGTGGGTTCCATGCTGAGTAACTGGAAACTTTACAATGTGTGTGGGTGTCCTCACATACCTACTGCTTCCAACACTTCTGTCTACCCCTCATAAGAAACAGTTGCATGGTATAACCACCCAGCCTCATAGTGGGTTTAACAAAACTGTTCCGATTGTAGTAATGCAATATGATGTGTCTACAAGGCATCTTCTGTATCTGTGACCTTCACTTGCTGTGCTGACTGACTGTTGGACACTCCAACAAGTGGTTGATAATACTAACTCTACTGATACCACTTTGTGCCCTCTGGTGCCTGTTATAAATGTGCTATCTCCTTACAAGTAGAATCATTCAGATACCCATCACTGGTCTGCATGTCGATCAAATTATGTTCAAATCAGACTCTCCTATGTTGTTAATGTTTTTGTCAGTGAGTAAATGGTAAATGGACTGGACTTAAATATCACCTTTCTATCTTATCAATATACTCTAAGCTCTTTACACTACAACCTGTGCCCTCATTTACCCATTCATACAGCACTCTTACTATATCTTTACAAAGAATAATCAGTGCTTTATCACATTCATACACAGACGGGACACACATCGGAGGCAATGAGGGGTTCAATGTCTTGCCCAGAGACACTTCAGCATATGACTGCTGGTGGCGTCGAGCCCCCAACTCTCCCATTGGAGGGCAGCTGCTCTAACCACTCAGCCACAGCTGCCCCAAATCTGCCTGAGTGCATGCAAACAAAAACTAAATCACCATCCCATAAAACTGTATTGCTTTACTCCATCTTGTGGCTGCAAAGCAGCACTGACAAACTTATCTCAGCGAGGCCACCTGCTCTCATCTACTGCCTTTAATCAAATAATAATCCAATCAACTTCTGTTTATGCAAGACAATTATGTCCGCTGTTCGTTTACAACTGGAACTGGTCATGGAATGAAAAGTTCATTAAGCACAAATAACATCTAGAAGCTGTGTATGCATTATGCAAAGCATATCTGCACTTGCTCGATGATCAAACTGTTTATATGTGTAAAAAAGACAGCTTGAGTCAGAGCACAAACACAGCTATTTAAGTCCATATTGCTCACAAAGTGCTTGGGTGTACGTTTATTTTCAAGTAAGAGCCAGGACATCTGGATGTGTGTGTATGACAGAATTAATGTCAACCCGAGTGACAGTCTCTAAGCTCTCTCCTGCAGCTGTTTTTCCCTCCTGCTCAGATCTCACTTGATGTCAGTGCACTGGAGCAGAA